TTGGGCCGCCTGGGTGGCTCAGTTGGTTAACGGCTGCCTTCGGCTCAGGTCATGATCCCAGAGTCCTGGTATCGAGCCCCGTGCCGGGCTCCCTGCTCAGCGGAGAACCTGTTTCTCCCTCTCCCTCTGCCTGCCACTCTGCCTACTTGTGCTCTCTCTCTCTCTGTCACATAAATAAATAAAATCTTTAAAAAATTTTTAAAAAATAAAGAGGGCACTTGATGTAATGAGCATTGGGTGTTATATGCAACTGATGAATCACTAAGTTCTACCCCTGAAACTAATAATACACTACATGTTAACTAACTTGAATCTAAATGAAATCTAAAAAAACAAAAATAAAAACAAATAAGTATAATTTATATCTTTGTTGGGTTATCTGTGGTAGCCTACAATCACAATTAAAAATACTATCAATAAACTTTAAATGTTCTGAAGGGATGATTATCAGATATATACAAGTGGCTAAAAGCTTTCTGAAATGAGAGTTTTAGTCTACTTTTCTGATTCTGAGTATTGTATTTGCACTTCGTGATTCATTTTCGCATTTACACCTGATTATATAAACAACAAATGAGACATATTTCTTACCTCTGGTGTCCCACAAAATGTTGTAGTCGTGTCAGATATAGCAATTCCTTCTTTACAAAGCCCAAAATCTGTTAAGACAACATGTCCCTGACAAACAGAGGGGCAGTAAGATAAAACAACACATGGGCATAAGCTGACAATTTTTAAAACCATTTCACTTTGAAATAATTATAGACCCACAGGAAATTGCAAAAATAGTACAGTTTTGTGTACCCCTCACCCAGCTTTTCCTAATGCTGATAGCTTATATAACTGTAGAAAATATCAAAATTAGGAATGGTAGAATACTGTTAACCAGACTGTCCATTTTATTCAGTTTTCATTATTTTTTTTTACACATATGCATTTGTGTGTGTGTGTATATATATGTGTGGTTCTATGCAATAGAGACGTGCAGATCTATGTAACTACCGCTACCATCAAGATAGAAAACTATCCACTACCCCAAAGAAACTGAGGATTCAGGCTACCCCTTTATCTTTGTACTCACCTATGCCCACTGTCCCTGTCACCTTGCAATCACTCATCTGTTTTCCATCTCTACAGTTCTGTCATTTGGAGAATGTTACATAAATGGAATGATGCAGTGTGGAACCTTTGAGGCTGCCTTTTTTCCACCAAGCACAACAACAATTAAATTGAGAATTGGTAGATTTTTAAAAGAATACTTACTACTGAATCCAAAAGAATATTTTCTGGTTTCAAGTCTCTATTAAATTAAATGGAAAGAAAAGCAAAACTGAGTATTAACTGAAACAAAGTAATAAAAAAAGACGTTTTTACAAGAAACACATTAAAATGTACCTGTACACTATTTTGATGGAGTGCAAATAACCCAATGCACTGGCAATTTCAGCAGCATAAAACCTAGCTCTGTGTTCGGGAAAGGACCGTTCTCTCTGTAGGTGGAAAAACAGCTGTAAAATGGAAAAAGAAATGGGTATTAAGATCATTCACACATAAAGTAAAACAAATATATCCTCTAAATACAAAAACAGGATTTTTGTTACTCGGAACATGAGATAAAAATGCACCAAAGCACAGAACTGTGACTCTCCTTTGTGCCCCTGCCTCGCAATCATTCTCTCTTCAACCACACATCTTTCTTTACCCTTGCTAACTTCAACTTGCTCGTCTGTCATTTACTCTTCAATCCCCAGCGTGGCTGTGTCCTCACCACTCTGGAAAAGATTATCAACCCAGACCAATGATCTGGATATTGCCATGGAGTCAATAAGGTCTTACTAGCCCTTTTTTTGACTGTGGTTTCACTTGGGAAACAAAACAAAACAAAACAAAAAAACCCACTATTCAGAGATTGGAAACAAGTGGCTGGCAGACCAAATATAACCCACAGATATAATGTGTTTGAGCCAAATGCTGTTTTTAGAAAAAATCTAAATTAACTGGTAACATTTAAAAAAATGGAGAAATTTTTTTGGTAAAAATTTAGGTTTGATTTCTTCTGGGAAAAAAAAAAAAGGAAGCTCTGCAACATTAAGCCTCAATTCCAGTGTGGTAGCAAATGGCCAGGGCTGAGCAGCAGCTGGGCTCTCCAGTTCATTTCCTATACTCCTGAAATCATATTTTATTTCTTACTACCTGTCCTTTACTCATTAGGTTACCTGCCTGGGCGAAGTTTGCCCTAGGTCCTTACTCTAAGTTCCCGGGCTTCTTAAAACAAAGATCTCACTTTAGGGCTCCCCCTTCCCTGGAGAGTTCCGTATTGGCTCCTTTCCGGCCCCTTACACTGCAGGGATAGCGAGGTGTCTGTCCTCAGTTTCTCCACTGTTATTCTTTCTCTGAATACCCTGTCCAGGTAACCTAATCCATCCAGTGATTTTAACCACCTCTATGTCGACGTCTTCCACGTGGACATACCCCACCTACACCTCTGCTTGGAGCTTCTCCTGCAAAGACTGGCCACCTACTGCTCTTTCTTGAATATTTCACAAGCCAACAAATTCAACTTGTCTACAACAGAGCCCCCTGTCTTCTTTTACAGATTTACTGCTACTGTAGCTATATTCTATCCTTTAATGACATCACTTTCTACCCAGCCCTCTGAGCCATGGGAGGCCACAAGGTACAGTGAGAAGAGTCAAGTTTTAAAGCTGATCAGACTTGGATTCAAATCCTAATTCTTCTCTTTTTGTGTGCAATTCATTTAACTTCTCTGACTTACAAAAATTGTCCCCCAATTTTTCTTAACCTCTTCTGAAAGGTTATGGTGAAGATCAGTTATAATAGATCCTGACAGAGTAGGGACATGGAGGCTGGCCTGGGATTCATCTGGACTGCTCCTTTACCCTTAGCCTCTATATCTAACTATTGAATAAATTCTTCTGTTTTTATCTTTTAATTATTTCTGAAATACTCCCTCCTGTTTAGCCCTACTACTGCCTTTATTAGCTTATACTATCGTTAATATTCTATTTAAAATGAAAACGTGACCATTCATCAATGATAGCTAACACTGTTTACTAACTCAAAGGCACCATATTGGGGCGCCTGGGTGGCTCAGTCGTTAAGCGTCTGCCTTTGGCTCAGGTCATGATCCCAGGGTCTTGGGATCGAGCCCCACATCGGGCTCCCTGCTCTGCGGGAAGCCTGCTTCGCTTCTCCCTCTCCCACTCCTCCTGCTTGTGTTCCCTCTCTCACTGTGTCTCTCTCTGTCAAATAAATAAATAAAATCTTTAAAAAAAAAAAAAAGGCACCATACTGAGGACGACTTTATATGTTTGTTTTATTTATTTATTTATTTTAAAGATTTTATTTATTTGACAGAGAGAGACACAGCTAGAGAGGGAACACAAGCAGGGGGAGAGGGAGAAGCAGGCTTCCCGCAGAGCAGGGAGCCCGATGTGGGGCTCGATCCGAGGACCCTGGGATCATGACCTGAGCCGAAGGCAGACGCTTAACAACTGAGCCACCCAGGCACCCCTGTTTGTATTATTTAATCTACCCAAGTAGTTTGAGGCAGAAAATTAATGAGGAAGCTGAGGTTCAGGAGGGCTTGTGTAAATGTCTAGTATCATATCAAGTAAGTACACAAGTCAAGGTTAAAATGTTATATGAAAATCAGAGGGACTACATAACTGATGAATTACTGAACTCTACACCTGAAACTAATGGTGTTCTATATGTTGACTAATTGAATTTAAGTTAACAAAAAAAAAGAAAGCCAGGGGGACAGTCCTAGTAAGAATAACAGGAAACCCATAATGAAATTATACTCCTACCTCTATCCTTTCTCATCTTTATTGCCCTCCTACTACTGCCCCATTCAGCTCCTCCTCCACCAACCCCAACATTCTATTCCATTCTTTTTATTCCCCATTATCTTAACCAAGTCTATCTTTTAGAATACAAGCCTACATGTTTCCACCTTTGCCACTCAGTTTATGAGAGATCAATGTATAAAAAGGGCTCAAAAGCAAGGTCCTAAAACAAGATGAAGAAACCACAGACAAAGCAGGAAGCTCACAAACAGGATCTCATCTGCAGTTAATGCCTTGCAGGACATTTCAAAGTCACAGATTTGTACTCAGGTCCAGGTTAAATCCAGGACCTGACACTTACTAGAAAGCATGGTGACACTGAGAAAGTTACTTAACCTCTCTGAGCCTTAGAAGAGTATTTATCTCAAAGAATTATAATGATTAATTGAAATAATGCAGGAAAAATAATTACACAGTGCCAGGCCCTCAATAAATTCTCATTATATGTTAGCACTCGTGTACACATAAAATAAAAATGACAACCTCAAATCTTCAGCCTTCAAAGTTTTGCATCTACACTGAGGAGGCATATGGCATTTTTGTCATAGAGATGTAGGGGGTGTGTGATGATTCTTTTAATCATCTTCCCCCAAATGATCTAGGTGTGTGACCATCTTTCAGGTTTGCAGAATAGACAGTAGTCTTCCTTTATTCTACAGTTAAGTACACTATATTAAGGTTGAAATAACCATTTTCCTCTCTCTCTGATCTGGAACTAGGGGATGAAAAGATCCCTTTGTGAGGACAGGACACAATCTACGAGAATAATTTTGAGAGACACTCACAGGTTAGAGATCAAACAAATTAGAAAGGTACGAGGATTGAGAACCAGAAGAACAGGGGGGTGGTCCACTGCCTAAATCCTGGAATCACACTGCCTGAGTTCAATTCCTGCCTCTGATACTTATTAACCACATGCCTTGAGCAAGTTACCCAGCTTCTCTGTGCCTCAGTTTCTTTATCTTATAGAACATGACTGTCGTGAAGATGAAATAATACATATAAAGATGCAGAGTGCTGGGCACATAAGTATACTTGATGCATGTTAGCTATTACTGTAATTATTATCATGACAGTAGCGTTTTCCAAAATGTATTTCAATATCCCTCTGATTAGAGTTTTGGGGAGTATTATTAACAGATTTGGTTCAAACAAAAAGGGACTGCATGCTAAGAAAATATTTTCAAAAAATCTTGGCTTTGGCAGAACTCAAAGTCTTTAACATGCTGAAACATACTGTGAATCACCAAGAAGCATACTGTTAATTGCCAATGGGATAGAACTTGAAACGTTTTCCAAACTGACTTCACCACAGAACTCCTTATTAGAGGATCATCTCGTCTGATTATAGTTTGCACGTTTTAGAAAATGACAGGCTAGAGTAATCTTTATATGCAACTGTGGAGACAATAATTATCTGAATACAAATCATGTTTTAGTCTAACGTTTCAGTATATTATTCCTGCTATATTATCCGTGAAGTCTGTAGCTTCATACCAAGGTTCTTTTATGAATCTTCCCACCTACATACCATAAGCTGCTTAAGAGCTTTTTTTACAATTCTCTACATCTTGCTTTGTGCTTATTAGCCAGCATCTTGAATCTAATAGCTGTTAATTCTGGCCTATCCTTCCAAAACCTGTTAAGCGAAGAAAAACTGTGATTTTACTCTATTTTTTCTAAACATTATCAACATTACAAAACTAATCATAAAACTCACCTCCCCTCCATTAACAAAATCCAGAACAAAATAAAGCTTTTCAGTTGTTTGGAAAGAATAATGTAATCCAACCAAAAATGGATGTTTCACATTTTTCAAAAGCACATTACGTTCAGCCATGATATGTTTTTGCTGTAAAAAAAAAAAAAAAGTAAAGGATCAACTTGCATTATATACCAGAAAACAATTCTGTTAATTGAGAAAGTGAATTTAGGAGAAACAATGCTATTTTATTTTACCTCTTTTCTGTTGAGAACTATTTTTTTCTGTAACACTTTGACAGCATAGAATTTTCCATCCAGTTTCCGTTTTGCAAGAAGAACCTGTTGTAGTTACAGATTATACAAACTATTAGAAATTTCAATATTTTGATAAAAACAATTCGCTTGTCAGTAAATTCATAACTTATGTACAAAAAGTCTAAAGGGGACCTAGATGACGTTTTAGTTTTGAAAACTGAATACTGAATTTATTTTTATTCTACTTCTTAGATATTTTAATAAAATAATAACAAAAAAGGAATGTTAATCACTTGAATAGCCAGGTACCAGGTACCAAATACCAGGTACCATTTCTTTGTCACTTAATGTGCTGACGTTTGAGATTTTTATGAAATTTAAGTCCCAAAATCTATACTGCTTGAGATCCTCAAGTGTGTGTGGTGTGTTGAGTGTGCACATGCAAGCCCTGAGTCCTAAAGAGCGTCCTTAGAAAATACTGAGGCGGGCACCTGGGTGGCTCAGTTGGTTAAGCGTCTGCCTTCAGCTCGGGTCATGATCCTGGAGTCCCGGATCGAGTCCCGGATCAAGTCCCGCATCGGGCTCCCTGCTCAGCGGGGAGTCCGCTTCTCCCTCTGATCCTCCCCCCTCTCATGTGCTTGTCCTCTCTCTCATTCTCTCTCAAATAAATAAATAAAATCTTTAAAAAAAAAAAAAAGAAAAATACTGAGGCTATCAACTTCATGGATATTGATAAAAAAAAGCGGAGAAGAAAATGGTTTCTATGTGATTGAAATGCATTTTTGTTTTAATATTTAGGTTTCTCTTAAGTTTTAAATTCAGAAGCATTCAGGGGAAGAAGGACCATGTAGAGCTGAGCTTCTACAATGGGCTAGGCTGTATGCACTTTCAAGGATCTGAAGAAATTTAGAGGCTCTTGCCCCAGAAAAAAAGCAGACATACTCAGGGTTTTGCAAATAACTTTTTAAGGGATTCAAGAAGCCTGACAAATTGTGTAACTATTAAATGATACATTCTAAAGCTTTCTGAGATGATCTGACATAGCAACTGGTAACACTGCTGGGCTTTATATTCTAGTATAGGTGTTGTCTTCCTCGATACAACTTAAAACCCCAGTCTAATCATGAGAAAAACATCAGATGAATTCTAGTAGAGGGACATCTTACAATATACCCCATTAGTACTTCTCAAAACCATCAAGGTCCTCAAAAACAAGGAAAGTCTGAGAAGCTGTTAGAGCTATGAGAAGCTTAAGGAGACACGCAAGCAAATGTAATGTGGTATTGTGGATGAGATCCTGGAACAAAAAAAGGACATCAGGTAAAAAGCAAGGAAATCTGAATAAACAATGGACTTTGTATCAATGTTGGCTCATTAACTGGAACACATGTACCATGCTAATGTAAGATATTAACAATAGGGATACTGTATGTGGAGTGGAGGATGTTTGGGTATTCTCTGAACTTCCTGTTTTTTCTCTTTACTCAATTTTTCTGTAAATCTAAGCTGTTCTAAAAAATAAAGCCTATTAATTAGAAAAAAATGTTTGTTTTTAATCAAGATGGAGTCAAAACATCTTCAGGGTAAAAATGTCCTGGCTCAACTGTTGGCATTTTCCCCATTTTCCATTCTTTTGTTTGCTACAATATTTGACTCTATACAACACCTTTTCTTCGTACATTTTTCCTTTTCTCAACACCTCCCACCTGCCTGACCTTTCCTGCTCTAGTTTGACTGGTTCATCTTCCAATACATTATGAGAAAATAATTCAAATGTGGCAATTAGGAGGTACCAATTTCCCTAAAGTAAGCATTTTTTCAATAGATTGGTAGATTTGGAGAACAGGCAGATCGTTAAGAAACAAACAGGCAGGGGCACCTGGGTGGCTCAGTCATTAAGCATCTGCCTTCGGCTCAGTCATGATCCCAGGGTGCTGGGTTCGAGCCCCACATCAGGCTCCTTGCTCAGCAGGAAGCCTGCTTCTCCCTCTCCTGCACCCCTGCTTGTGTTCCCTCTCTAGCTGTCTCTCTGTCAAATAAATAAAATCTTTAAAAAAAGAAACAAACAGGCAAAGGGAAAATGGAACCAAGACCCCTCAATGGAGAAGAGTTTAGAATAAATTTTAGATTGCCATTATTTATTTATCATATATTTTTTTCTATTTTTCAAACACTGGGTTTGCATTTGTTTACTTTTCCAGCTTTTTGCGTATTCTGCTTTTGTTTTACTGTACTTTATTGGTTTCTAACCACTTTGCAAGATTTAAAATTTTTATTAAACATAACATGTATACAGAATAACTCACAAATCATTACAGCTCAGTAAATTACTACAAAATGAACACATATGTAACCACTATCTAGGTCAAAAAATAAAACATTATCTTATAGTTGTGGGTTCATTTCTGGGTTTTCTATTCTATTTTTGCATTTACGCAAAGAATAAAAAAATATAATTCGAAGGGATACACATACCCTGTTTATATCAGCATTATCTACAATAGCCAAATTATGGAAAAAGCCCAAATGTCCATTGATAGATGAATGGAAAAAGAAGACATGGTATTTACAAATATAATGGAATATTACTCAGCCATAAAAAGAATGAAATCTTGCTATTTGCAATGACATGTTGGAGTTAGTATTATGCTAAGTGAAGTAAGTCAGAGAAAGACAAAAACCACATGATTTCATTCATATGTGGAATTTAAGGAACAAAACAAAAGATCACAGGGGAAAAAAAGAGGCAAACCAAGGAACAGACTCTTTTTTTTTTTTTTAAAGATTTTATTTATTTATTTGAGAGGGAGAGAGAATGAGAGATAGCATGAGAGGGAAGAGGGTCAGAGGGAGAAGCAGACTCCCTGCTGAGCAGGGAGCCTGATGCGGGACTCGATCCCAGGACTCCAGGATCATGACCTGAGCCGAAGGCAGTCGCTCAACCAACTGAGCCACCCAGGCGCCCTAAGGAACAGACTCTTAACTAAAGGGAACAAACTGATTGTTATCACAGGGGAGGTGGGTGGGGGGAAGGTGGGGGGACGGGTTAAATGGGTGATAGGGAGGGCACTTGTGATGAGCACCAGGTGTTGTATGTAAGTGTTGAATCACTAAATTCTACACCTGAAACTGATATTACACTGGATGTTAACTGGAATTTAAAAATTTTTTAAAAGAAATTAAAAAAAAACATTATCAGTAGCCTGAAGCCCGCATTCTCCCCTATTTCAGAAACTACTTATCCCTGTCTTCCTCATTTATCTCAATTTGTAATAACACAGGTTTTGTCTTTTTTTTGAATTTTATATAATTAGAATCATATAAAGTTGTCTCTGACTTCTTTCACTCTAAATAATGTAATATGCATTCATGTTGTGGCATGAAGCATAATTTTTGTATTTTTATTGTGCAGAATAATGCATTACACATTTTAAAAAATTTAATTCCAGTATAGTTAACATACAGTGTTATATTAGTTTCAGGTGTATGATACAGTAATTCAACAATTCTATACATTACTCAGTGTTCATTATGGTGAGTATACTTTTTTTTTTTTAAGAAGTGCACTCTTAAACCCCTTCACCTATTTCACCCATCCCCCCCACCCATCTCCCCTCTGGTAACCATCAGTTTATTCTCTATAGTTAAGAGTGGGTTTCTTGGTTTGTCTTCTTTCATTTGTTTTGTTTCTTAAATTCACATATGAATGAAATCATATAGTATTTGTCTCTCTCTAACCGACCTATTTCACTTAGCATTATACTCTCTAGATTCACCCATTTTGTTGTAAATGGCAAGATTTCATTCTTATTTATAGCTCATTGATATTCCATTGTATATGTGTATCTATGGACACTTGGGTTGTTTCCATATCCTGGTTATTGTAAATAATGCTGTTATAAACACAGGGGTGCATATTATCTTTTTGAATTGGTGTTTTCATATTCTTTGGGTAAATACCTAATAGAATTACTGGATCATATGGTAGTTCTGTTTTTAATTTTTTGAGGAACCTCCACACTGTTTTCCATAGTGGCTGACCAGTTTCCATTCCCACCAACAGTGCACAAGGGTTCCTCCTTCTCCATATCCCTACCAACATCTTTACCAACACTTTTTGATTTTAGCCATTCTGATAGCCATAAGGTGATTTCTCCCTGTGGTTTTGATTTGCATTTCCC